ACACAGCAAATCTAGCAGTGCTAAGACTAGATTTTTTTTTCCAGACTCCCTTTTCTTTACCACTTGACTATGGTTCCACTTCATTGACCAAACCTTTGGCTCAGTTACATCATAAGAGTAAGGGACCTATTAGCTTCCTGTTCCCAAGTATGGCGGTTCTGTAGTGGCCTGAACATCATGATGATTGGTCTTGCAGAATGGAAATGAAGGACTCAATGCCTGCTCTTTGGGGCCAAGGTGCAGAGTCACAGGGCATAGATTGCTTGTAAATTGTATCTTCATCTCCTACCCATTAGTCATCCCTTCTCCACAGGAACCCTTTCTCCCTCTTTCCTCCTAAAAGGGCTGTGGAAGTAAATATAGACCCAGGACTTCAGTTGCTCCTCAGATATTACTAAAGGGGATGATTCAGGGTGCAGGGTCATAGACTCTTCTGTGATGGGTTTTTTTTTTACCCATTTTTGTGGATTCACTAAACAGACCAATCCTCACTCATTTTTAATTTCTCTATTGCAGAGGAATATGCCTGTAAGGAATAGAATTTTTATGTAGAGTGGGAAAAACATAGGAGTTACTTCCTCTCTAGTTTAAAAAACCTAAAACTTACTCCATGTGTGTGCATGTGAGTAAAATGCAACTATCAAGATAATACTGTCAAGGTAATTTTTAAAAATATATATTGGAAACAAGGGGTGGAAATAGCATTTTACATTCCACTTTGGTGAAAAGAGCCAGGCAATGGGTAGCAAGATTGTGCTGGTGTTCAGAAACACAACTGTTATGCGATTGAATATCTACTGTACCACTAGGCAACTGGAAGTGTTATGAACACTCCTGAGTCATGCATTTCCTCTCTCAACTAATTGCTGGGTGATAATTTATTAAAGGAATGGACCAAGTCAAATGACAACTGTTCAATTCATTATATACCTATTAACTATACATTAGAGATGAACATGGTAAAAACATTACCATGAGCAGATACTCTGTATTACAAAGATTGGTACAAGAAGAATTTCTTAATTAATGGTTTACATGCATCAAATTAGAAAAATAATTTAAGAATTGAAATGTTTTAAAATGTGATTTGATTATGGTACTTAGAGCTGACACTAACTAGAGGAAACCGTTAAATGTCTGAATTGAAGTGGCTTTCCAAATCCATTTTTAATGTTCTTGTACTAATCAGAAGTAAATACAGTGCAACTCTGTCTTCCCATCTCAAAAACCACGTGATAACATTTTTTCACTATAACATTCTTCTGTTTGGCAGAGCTTGTAAATGGGAAGTATAAAAGCTGCTGAGTGTTGCTTTTAAATCAAGGAGATCCACAGTTGTGCCACATTTATAACTGTTGGTGCAATGAAATAAATTACATAAATAACTGTTAATGAACCACTGCTATGATCAATATTTTGTGTGCACAGAAATTGGGCACGTGCAAGTGATTCCCACCAATCTTTGTGCCTATGTGGTGGTGGTACATCAAAGGCATCGATTAGAATCAGGGTTCCATTGGGCTAGTCTTGAACAAACTTATTGTTACTGCCTTAAAGCGTTTCTGATTTGAAACAAGAATCAACAAGTGTGTGTGACAAACCATAGAAGGAAAACAAAGCGAGAGGATGACTGACAGTGATAAGATCCCACAGTTACATATGTTTGTTCTCTGCACAACTTGGTATGTCAGAATCACTTATTTATGGGGGAAACATTTTTGAATTTAGTATCAGCTATCCCAGCTGCCCCACAACTGAGTGCATGTTGGTTTGCTGGGTTTCTTATCGACCTCATGGCTTTTGAGGGATTTGAAAGAAGAGTGTGTAGTGGCTGTATGGATTCATTCTGTGAAGACTTGCAATGTGTAAGGGACAGCATGGAAGAAAGTATGGAGACATGCGAGAGCGAATTGGACAACCAGTTCAAGATTGGCATCATTGACAGAATGGAGGAGGAACGTGTGAAGTATGATTAGGAAAAAGCAAATATTTTGGATGAGGCAGAGTTATGAAGAGCCTTAAATGTAAGGTTAACTTGTATTTGGTGTGGTGGAAAACCGATTCCGGAGAAAGATGTGCGGGGTGACAGACCAGGAAAATTATTTTAGCGGCTGTGTTTAGTGCAGACTGGAGGAGGGGGCAATCTGGGGGTTGGAGAGGCCAGAGACATTGGCAGTAACCAAGATGTGACATTGAGGACTTGAACCAGAATTCTAGCTGTAGGGACAGGATTCAGTTTTGCTTTAGAAAAGTATAGAGAAGAGAGATGCCAGGATTTGAGCACAACTTGGATCTCTGGTTTGCTGAAGAGAGTCAAGTCAGATGATACCCTGGCTATGGGTTTGAGGATTAATGTTAACAGTGCCAGAGAATAGGCAGAATAGCGAGGATTTAGGATTATATGCAATTTTGTATAGCACATTTTAAAATGTAAGATTGTGTATCATGTTATAGTAGTTGTTCCTATAGGAAAACCACAACTTTGAATTTCCTGCCATGTTTTCTGGTTAAATATCAACAATAAATGTTGCAATAGGGAAGGTTTTGGCATTTAAATTCTTTTTAAAAATCTGTTTTTGAGACACTCTTAAAAATATTCAGTGAACTTTAAAAAATGACTGGCTGTTTTTTACCAAACTTCTCCCTCTCTGTGCTCCTCCCACCTCCACCCTCCACCCCAAATGAAATGTTTGGACTAAGAACAAACATAAGAAATTTCAACCTGAAGTGAGTTTTATCCCTGTCCCCCTTCACCCCTTGAAAATAATGTTTTTGGGGAAAGGGGGCTTTGAAATTAAAATGTTTCCTCAGCCATAACTATAGAATGGTTAATATAATAATGTGTGATTACTGGAGAGTTATATATGCTAAAGTTGTTTTATCTTCCCCAGGTCCCCAGAGCAAAAGTACACTTCATATATGTAATATATTTCTCCAATTCGATAGTAGCATTTCCTGTCCCTTGCATATATGATCATGTGATGGACTACAGTATGTAGTCAAGCCACAATAAAACCAAGATAGGTGTGAAAAATAGACTGAGTGTATGCGTGCTACTTACTCTAGCAAAAAACAAAGGTTAAATGTCTTTAATCAGAATTACCCTGGAATTGAAACCAGTGTCTGTCTTTTGAGTCACAAAAAGCTGATTGAAAAGGTCATTGTGGCCAGCTGCTGCATGTTTCTACGATGCTAACCACATAGCAAGCTTGAGCGAGAGTTATATAATCTATGTTGGTGAATGCTTTTGAGTACATTTGTGAGTTAACATTAGTTATCAGAAATGTCAGGTATTACAGGCAGAGTATTTGTTTTGGCAAAGAAATGGAATTGCATTGTTTGGTTTGGATTAACTTCCCTGTTTGTTTGTGTTCCATATTTTCCCAATTATCTTTCCCGTGAACTTACAAACCCAAGGGCAAGCTTTTGCTTTCCAGTAAAAATAAACATTGATTTCTTTCAGACTAGCAAAATTCCTGATGGCCAGGAGTCCCAGACAACCAAAAACATAGTCCAGACAAGAAAAATATAATTACTGCCTATTAGACAATATGTTGAGCTGAGCTTTACAAGTGACTGAACAGCATGTCTCACTTCACACTGCAGATGAGAAGGTGCTTCCTACTTGTTTATTTTTAAATACCACTTATAAGCAGCAGTTATCAGTTTGCACATTACTGAATTCCTCCCATAGGTCTGCCCATCCTCTTTCACCCCAAACTACATTATGTATGTGTTCTCCCAATGGTGCAATATGTGCACTCTTGCCTTCATGTGACAGAGACAAGAAAACCAAGATCGCACATTTTCACTTTGCTTTTTTTACTGTAACCTTACTGTTCGTTTCCTGTCTCCCCTGTAAACTGTACTTTTAAACTCCAGGCAGAGGTATAAAACCCTCCTAGATCTGCAGGATGTTTTGAGTTTCAGGCACAGCTAGTACCATGCACATATTGTTGTGTAGTAAATCGTGCCAAAAAAAGACACAAGTGGTTTGAAAGAGAATTGCATGTGGCACCTAACTTGCAGATTATGTATGGTTATGTCAGTTCCATTTGTTTAATATATCTTCTTGATGTTAGGCATAAGTCATCACAACTGTATTGGGACTTGCATGTGCATGAGGAAAGCTATACCTCAAATTATGCTATAAAGTAGTGCAAAGGGAGTACTGCTTTATATTATGACCTATTAGTGATGGAATCATTTATTGGAAGTTGTATGTATCAGAAACCTTATAGCACATTTCTTATAATGTCATAAATATTTTCAGTATGACATGTATTTACAAATATTTGAAATCCACTTGTACATACTTTTTTATTTAATTGAAAAAATGTTTTAAACAAAATATTATGCACTTAAACTTTAAAACTTGCATTGTGCCATCGTAACCACTTACATTTATATAGTGCCTAGTATTCCAAAGCACTTTACAAACTGAAAGTGACATGCACTTTGCTGACCACTGAATAGCAATCACCTCTGGTTTAAGAATGTTATAGCAACTTTGCATAACAACTTCAGACAGAAAGTGAAGAATACAATATCCTATTGAATTTGCAGTGGAAATATAGGTTGGCAGAACTTGATTACCAGAATTAGAAATTGTTTAGACACCAAGACTAGTGTTACTGTTGTGAATAGTGAATTGAGGTCTTTAATACCACGTCCGCAGCATAGTGTCCCCTAACTCCGTTCTGGGGCTTGAGTTTAATAAAGGGAAGAGTTTTACCGTATGGGTAATGAACACCACTTTCAGCAGCACCAAAGTGCTTCTTGACAGTCCACCCCGTCAAGTATGGCCCCTATTTAGCACGTGCAATATGATGCTGTTACAATACAAGATGGCTTTTCTTATGACATTCCATATAGTTGCAGGCAAAATTTTTCTTCAATAGTTGGGAAATAAGTTTAACCTCATGGATGCAAGCAAATGAAAATCATACAATGATATATATTTTTAGTAACATATATATATATTGTTAAACTTATTCTAGGTTGGGCAATGCAGGTTGCTGCCTTTATTTTCATTCAGAGGAAATGGGAAGATGACAAGAACCACTTTGAAAATATGCTGGATTATTTCTGTGACATTCATGAACCACTGCAACTCCTCATCTTTCCTGAAGGAACTGATCTCACAGGTAAATTAATTGTTGGCTCCTCTTGGATGTAATTAGGTAGAAATTCATATGTATTAAGGAAATAGTTCCTTAGTTAATAATAAAAAAGTAGCAAGCGACTATGGAGTCTCATGAACAGTAAGTTTTAATAGATAATCTAGTATACCAGTGTGACAGGTTGGGTCACAGAAATCCCCTTGGGACTGCCACCTGATGTGCTGAGACTACCTCTAAGCCCATTTTCCCTGGCAGCTCAGGACTTCAGTACGCTGCCTGGTTGTGCCAGACACGCTAGCCTGTTACAAACACACACCCAGGTCTGAACCATGTCCCCCAAAAGCTGCAGGCTTAACTGAAAACATCTTAAGAAGTGTTCCTGTCTCCAACACCCAGATACTCAGTTCCCAATGGGATCCAAGCCGTAAATAAATCCGTTTTATTCTGTATAAAGCTTATACAAGGTAAACTCAAATTGTTCACCCTCTATAACACTGATAGATATGCACAGCTCTTTTCTCCCCCAGGTATTAATACTTGCTCTGGGTTTAATTAATAAGTAAAAAGTGATTTTATTAAATATAAAAAGAAAGATTTTCATAGATTCAAGATTCATAGACTCTAGGGCTGGAAGGGACCTCGAGAGGTCATCGAGTCCAGTCCCCTGCCTTCGTGGCAGAACCAAATACTGTCTAGACAATCCCTGATAGACATTTATCTAACCTACTCTTAAATATCTTCAGAGATGGAGATTCCACAACCTTCCTAGGCAATTTATTCCAGTGTTTAACCACTCTGACAGTTAGGAACTGTGGATTTAAGTGGTTCCAAGTAAAAACAGACAGAACGAAGTAAGTTACCAAGCAAAATAAAATAAAAACATGCAAATCTAAGGCTAATACAGTAGGAAATTAAATGTGGGTAAATCTCACTCTCAGTGATGTTCCAGTAAACTTCTTTTACAGACTAGACTTCCTCCTAGTCTGGGTCCAGCAGTCACTCACACCCCCATAGTTACTGTCCTTTGTTCCAGTGTCTTTCAGACATCTCTTTGGGGTGGAGAGGCTATCTTCTGAAGACAAAATGGAGGGCTTTCACAGGGCCTTATATAGTCTTTCTTTTGTGGGTAGAATGTTCTCCTGTGCAGAATCACAGCTACAAGATGGAATCACATGGGCAAGTCATATGTCCATGCATGACTAGTTCTTTATCGGCTGACGCCATTGTTTACATGTGAGTTTGAACGTTCCCAGGAAAGCTCAGATGTGGATTGGCATCTCTCAAGGTCCATTGTCAGCTAAGTACTCCCAATTACTTGAATAACCCCTTCACACTATGTTGACCAAATCTGCCTTATGTGCTTCCTCCAGCAAACACTTTAAATATAAGCATAGAGCCAACACTGATGGGGGGCGAGTTCTGTGGACCCATGGTGACTGGGCACCAGGAATATTCCTGGTGCCCAGGCACTATGGGCCCAGCTCCAGCATTGTGTGAGGCCGGGTCTCTCCCTTGGCCCCGCCTTCCACCCCAGGCACCACTGCCCCATGCGTCCCCCAGGCCATTTAAAACAGACTGCAGCCCCCACTCACCACCGGCAGCGCAGCGGTGCTGAGCGGCTTCCTGCCTGCTCGCTCCACGTGGCTGCCGGCCATCCCTGCACCCCTGGGCAGGGTGGGTCTGTGTCCCGCCCCAAGCGTCACTGTGGCCAATGGGAAGCTGCGGGGGCAGTGCCTGGGGGTAGCAGCACATGGAGACTCCGGGCCCGCCCTGCTTAGGAATTCCAGGTAAGTGCCGCTCCCAGAGCCTGCACTCCCCCTTTGGCCACCAAACTCCCTCCCAGAGACGGCACCCCTCACCCCCTCCTGCACCCCCACCCCTGGACCAAGCCCAGAGCCTACACCCAAACTCCATCCCAGAGCCTGCACCCACAAACCCCTCCTGTACCCCCACCTCCTGCTGAAGCCCGGAGCCTGCACCCACACTCCATCCCAGGGCTTGCACCCCAGACCTCCTCCCCCCACCCAAACTCCCTCCCTATCTTACAGATGATAAATTGAGGCACATAGTGGATAAACTACTTTCCAAAAGTGGCAGAACTGGGAATAGGACTCTGGTCAGAATACCCAGGTCCTTATTCCGCTATTTATTATTTAACATTTATACTGTAGTAGCGCCTAAAGGCCTCAACCAGGCTGGGCCCCATCTTGCTAGGCATTGTACAAACATAGAGAAACTGATCATTCCTACCCCGACGATTTTATAATCTAAAATACAAGATATAACAGCTGGATGAGATAAACAAGGGTATAAGAGTAAGAGCAGAGGAGATACTTTTTTTTAGTCTAATAGGATGTGTGAAATTTGTAGAAAAAGTCATCTCAACTCACCCCCTGGTTATTTACTATAAGCATTAGAGATGAGGCATTCTAACCATTAGAGACACCCCCTCCCTTTATAGTTACCTATTTAGACAGCCTAGGTCAAATGTATTTCTGCCTATGTGAGTCACACTTTTAATACAATAAATGTTTTAAAATATACTCCGATAAAAATAACAGTGTACGCACTGAAAGACATCACAGAAGCAAACTAACTCTGACAGGAGAGACCCGCAAGCCACAAATAATGTCAGTGTATGTTTCTATCGGTCAGTGAACGTACCCATGTAGAATTTGAGTACACAGGCTCAAATGCAATGTGCATCTTTGTTTTTAGGGCATGTTTCTGTAGGATTTTCTTTATAGAGAAACTGAAACAATCATAAAGGCTTGGTCTACGATACCAACTTATGTAGGTATAACGATGTGGCTCAGGGGTGTGGAAAACCCACACCCTTGAGCGATGTAGTTATACCGACCTAACCCGTGGTGTACACGGAGGTGTGTCGATGGAAGGGCTTCTCCTGTCGATGTAGCTCCCACTTCTCGGGGAGGTGGAGTATCTATGCCAGTGGCTCTCAACCTTTCCAGACTACTGTACCTCTTTCAGGAGTCTGATTTGTCTTGCGTACTCCCTCACTTAAAAACTACTTGCTTACAAAATCAAACATAAAAATACAAAAGTGTCACAGCACACTATTGCTTACTTTCTGATTTGACCATATAATTATAAGATAAATCAATTGGAATAGAAATATTGTGCTTACATTTCAGTGTATAGTATATTGAGCAGTATAAACAAGTCATTGTCTAGCTGAAATTTTAGTTTGTACTGACTTTGCCAGTGCTTTTTATGTAGCCTGTTGTAAAACTAGGCAAATATCTAAATGAGTTGATGTAACACCTGGAAGATTTTTGTGTACCCCTAGGGATACATGTACCCTGGGTTGAGAACCACTGATCTACGCCAGTAGGAGAAGCCCGCCCGTCGCTGTAGGTAACCTCTTCACTAAGCGCTACAGCAGGTCAGCTGCACTTCAAGTGTAGACCAGCCCACCATCAGCTTTTGAGTCAAACTGCTGCATACTGTATGTTTAATTATGTTGTCAAACATTTACTAACTTCAGTGACAGCTGTAGGCAGGAAGCTCAGAAATACTCTGTTACTATGTGAACTTGAAGATTTTATAATTAATTCATGTAATCTATTTTGGTATAGCTCATAACTTCCAGAACAGAATTTTCACTTAGAAACCAATACTGCGTATACTTTTTCAATGCTCTGTCATCTGAAGTTCTTATACCAACACTTTCAGACTGCGGTTTTTAATACCTATTACATTGAGTCTTATGGATACTCCCTATTACATTTTAGCTTGGAAAAGAGGTCATTAAAATTCCATGGAATGTTTAGTCTGTTTTACTTGTGAACGGTGAAAGGCTCAAAAGAATGGGAACCATTTTGGCTATCTGATAGGTGAAAGGTAGCAGACAACCTCAGTTACATTGTACATTTTAGTATTTGAAATGTTTACATACCAGACATTCATTAAGTTCCAGTTTTGCTTTACTTTTGAAACTGCAGTTCATTGATTTCCATAAAAATAGATCATTCTGCTTATTGCTTCTTTCCTTCCTCTTAAATATTTACTGTATAACTTGAGTATCCCATATTTAATATCTAAACTACAATGCCTCCATAGAAAGGAAATTAATAAGAATTACCAAGTTAATGTCACTTGCACACCCTTCGTCTTGAGGGTTGCTTGCATGTCACTCTGGCTGCAGCAATGCTTGGGATGAACCTTCTAGTTCATGAAATTTTGACATTATTCTGAATGGAGGTAAGATTCCACACAGTTTTTTTTCCCTTGTCTACCTCTAGGGCAGTTTGTTGGAAATGAACCAAGCAGAAGTCTGAGTCATATTCTCTTGATAAAACAAGCTTTATTATTAATAGAGGGGACAATCAAATTAATTCAGAGAACTTTGCATAACATACCTCATCTGAATTCTTTGCAAAGCTCAGTGGGGTACATGCACCTGCTTAGTTGCAGTGAAAAAAGAAAATGCCTTACATTTCTAGAGACTATTATCCACTCTTTCCCCTTTCATCAGGCAGCCTGAGCCACTCACTCTTTCTGTGTCTTAGGCCTTGTATAACTGTGCAAATTGACAGATTTGGGTTAAACTAATGCAGATTGCATGTGTAGACAAGGCCTTATACCCCTCTGCCAAGACCTATTGTCAAACCTCTACTCAGTGTTTTTATTTGATCTTGGAGGTGTTCTTTCCTTAGCCACCTTAATAAGGCAAGGTGATTGAATTTTGATTTGTGTGTCCATTTTTTCTTAGCTTAGGTGTTAGGTCATGTTAACTCAGTCTATCTGTACACACATTGAATGTGAGTCTCTCATCTAAGTAGAATGTATTTGCCTCATAAGTTTCTCTTACCAATGTTGCCACTTGCTATGAAATACAAATTGACAGGTACGAAATTCTGTGTCCGGTGTGATAGATATGGCAATTTCCTGCAATATCCTGAACAAACCTTTTTGAAATAACTTTCGTGTGTCTTAGGAGTTTGTTACATGAGCATTTTCATTTTTAATATATTATTGTGGGATTGTATGTTACATCTCTG